AATTTTTGAGTTTACAAAAAAAAATGTTCATTGTTCACATCGTCACTATAAAAAAAAATTTTTTACTTGATTTATTTGGAAAGTTGACACTACCATATTATCTATCCAAAATCTGTTTATATTCATTCCAATCCAAAAATTCAAGAACCTCTTTCTTGAATTTAAATATCACTCATCCAATTGTTTAATTCTTTTTTTGAGTCTTCTTGATTATGCCTACGTAAAGGATGTATGATGATTGAAAATTTATTTTTCAAACTTGGTGTTTTGTGGGTTGTACGGTATGCAATCTGACTATTGATAAATAGTACTTATCAGACTTGGCTAGTATCACGATGGTGGAAAAATTGGGATTACGTTTGCAACAACGCCCTAGGCCTTATAGGATGACTTGGTTGAAATGTGGGAAGGTAGATGTGACCAAGCGGGTTTTATTGAATGTCACCATTGGGAGATATAATGATAAAGTTGGGTGGGATGTAGTTCTATTAAAATCTTTTCATATCTTGTTTGGGAGACCTTGGAGGTATGAAAGGAAGGCTATTCATGATATGGAGAGGAACGGGTATAGATTTCTTCAGGACGGGGTAAAAATCACTCTGGCTGGGTTGACAGTAGAACAATCTTTTGCAGATCAATGAAAGGTGAGAGGTGAGATAGAATGGGAAAAGCAAGAGAGTGAGATGACCACACCTAAGGAGAATACCAAAGTTGAATTGTAGGAGGAGTCCAAAATAAGGAAGTTGAGATGGAGGATGGTGGATTGAAAAATGCAGTTGATATTGGGGAGAGTGAACCAATTAATGAGCTAGAGCACGAGCAGATTGATACAAAAATTTTAGAGATGGTTCAGCAAGAGAGTGAGCAAATAATGGCAGAATGTGTTGAGTAAATGGTTGAAAATGTTGTGGGGGAATGAAGAGCAGAATTCCATTGTTAAGCATGATATGGTGGAGATGATGCATTATGAGTACGAAGGACCCATATCTCATTGAGGGGGAAGCTAACAAATTCAACCGTGTTTTGCTTAATTATTTCTTTCAGGTCGATCATTGTACATGGGAGTTCATACAACATCTATGGGTGATTATGTTTGTGCTGTAATACATCCATACCTACAAAATGGATGGGTACTATATATTGATCCTATGCCATGGAAGAAAAAAATTTCCATTTCATCCAGGTGGTGCAGTGATGAGTTGTGTAGCAGGCTGGTTATCCCCTACGCGATCACAATACACGAATTCGATGACGAATCCTTTCGAAGAGAGAGGGGATGATATGGTTCGAGATAGGCAATCACTTGGTCAAATTTTGGAGTCCAAATTGAAGAAGTTGACAAGCCAATGTTCAATTTTCGTAAACGGCTCAGGAGCCGAAACGAGTTGGATTCAAGGTTTGGAAGATATTTGGAAAGAAAACGAGTAGAGTGGATTAAAATGGGCATAACTTTCAGATCGGGTGTCAGATTTTCATCCATGAGTACATTCTGGAATTGTCACGAAATTCTACACAAGTCTACATGGGCGCATGGTACTTTTGGGTTTTCGGTCACACACAAACATGGCATAAAGTCGGACGGGAATTTGGCAATTTTTGGCAGTTTCCTAGTTTAATTAGAATTCCATATTTTTAGCATCTTTTACAATATTAGTATTATATTTTCGTACAATTAGGGTTTTTTTTTTAGTTTTCATATAAATATGATCTTTATTTCATTGTAAGATTAAGATTTTTGATAACAAATTAACAAGATTTTTCTCTCCCTTAGTTCTTGAATGACTTACCGAACTTGTCAAATATATTTTTATATTTGTGGCGTTCAACCCTTAAAACTTATCAAAGGATTAGACACCTTTTGTGGAGTTTGCAAAATCATGGTTCTTGTTTATGCACATCAACGGGTCTATGATTTAATATACTTTAGGTTCTTGGTTCGTGAGGCTCGGGTCAGGATTTTATCATCTACAACCTGAATTTGGGCTTTCCTGGCGTTTCAGACTAATTTCGCGATTTCCACGCTGATCCTTTTCCCAAGTTCGCGTACAAACATGATAAAAAAAAATACATAAACTGATTTTTTTTCATTTGAATGGTCCCAGAACCTAAGCACACCAATTCCCATTGAGAAAGCAAGCAATAAAGATAAGGAGCATCATAAAAATGAGTTATGTATCTCAACATTCAAAAATAGAGGCAGATATTAAATCGGTCAAATAAGCCCACCAACATTGTGAAATTACCTTCATTTGATACTTCCACGCGCACAACTTCGAAAATGTAGCACAATAACGGAGTGCTTTTTCAAATACTTCGCAACTCGATATTTGGGGGCTACGGTTCTTAAGTGAAGTTGGGCATCATAACTGAGAGCAATGGTCGAATGTTTTTTCACATCATTCATGAATCATCGATTTCAGGGGTATTAGGGTTCTTGAAGTGAAGTTGGGGATCAAATGATTTGGGGAAGATGCTGCATAAGGTTTTTTGCAATTTAGGTTGGGAGAGAATATTCATCTGACTTGCACGATTGGGATAAGTTGGAGGCCAATTAAATGTTAAGTTGTGTAAAATGAAGGTGAAGTCGTGTGTGGTCAAAACTTGTTTGGATAAAATTTTGCTGACGTAGAAGTTGTGTTGGTACTTGACTCACCACTTCGAAAGATTTAACCGACCAGTTGGGCTTTTGTCGTCCACATAAGCATGTTTATTAACGATTGCCATTGGGTGAGTGATGGAGATGGACGGAGCAAAGTTCAATGGCCAACAGGACATTCGATGAAGTTCAGTGAGTAAGTCGTGATATGGTATAAAATTCTATTGCCAATGAAATATTTAACTTGTATGCATGCAATATTATTTAATTGTGAAGACACCATGGTTTAGTACTTCTAAAAATTGATTGACTAATTTTCATGGAAAAGTGACAATTTCCATGGAAACTAGGGCTCGATATGGTCCGGTTCGATTCAATTCTGAAGAGAACCGAACTGAAATTTTCGGATATTTAGTAAATGGAACTGTCGGGTCCAAATTTAATTATGGAATCGTTCGGGTTCGGTTCCGTTCGGTTCGATTCCCAAGTTCCGTACAATAATTAATTTTTTATATCTACAACAACGCTACATTGATTCTACTATAACAAGTTCAATCTTAACTCTTACAAAATAACGTAATTCAATCTAGTGATATCTTTTGCACATTTCTTTGTTAAGTTCTTTATAGATATGACAGTTAAAATCACAAGAAGATGAAGATAGTGAGTTCACAATAATAGAACGGCAAAAACGATATTACGGTAGAATAAGAGATTTTGGTAAAATTTAGATCAATTTGATTAAATTGGACTGGCTGAAAATTGAAAATAGTAAAATCATTTTTTTAGGTTTGAGCTAAATTAATTAGTTAGCAAATTCAATTAAAAAAAATAAAATAATTTGACTTATTTAAGATAAAAAAATTAGGAAGATTCGGTTATTCGATTCTAAGTCGATTCTAAGTCTAGAACCGAGAATCGAACCAAACCCGTCGATTTTTGATTTAGATATCTGTACGGATATTTAATTTAAGAAAAACCACCTGGTTCAGATCCGGTTCGGTTCAATTCGGTTCGATTAAGAAATTTTGTCCAGTTGGAAGAAATAACTATTTTCATGGAAAGTAATGGTTATCAAACACCAAAAAATGAAAAATTACAACATTTTGTAGGTTGAAAATTAAGTTAATCAAACACATGTAATTAACAATTTCCATGCAAATAATTTCTAGGCAATTGAATTAACTAGAAAATATTTTCTTTTCATGCAATTTTCATTCTTGCAATCAAACGCATCCTAATTTTTCTAACAACGCGATAATGATAAAACTATTAGTGATTAAATGATTCATAAAATACCGCAATAGCCAACTTTAGGGCTGGGCAAAATGTCCGAATCGAACCGAATCGAGCGGATTTTTCAGAATGAAATACCCGAACGGGTATCCGAATTAAGAACCGAATGATTTGGTTCGGTTCTCGGTTCTCGACCAAGAACCGAAAAATCGAATAAGA